GGGAGGGTGTGCAGTGTGTTCACTGGGGTGATATCGGTGATCAATAAGAGCTCAGAGCAGGGGAGGGTGTGCCGTGTGTTCACTGGGGTGATGTCAGTGATCAATAAGAGCTCAGAGCAGGGGAGGGTGTGCAGTGTGTTCACTGGGGTGATATCGGTGATCAATAAGAGCTCAGAGCAGGGGAGGGTGTGCCGTGTGTTCACTGCGGTGATATCGGTGATCAGTAAGAGCTCAGAGCAGGGGAGGGTGTGCAGTGTGTTCACTGGGGTGATGTCAGTGATCAATAAGAGCTCAGAGCAGGGGAGGGTGTGCAGTGTGTTCACTGGGGTGATATCGGTGATCAATAAGCTCAGAGCAGGGGAGGGTGTGCAGTGTGTTCACTGGGGTGATGTCAGTGATCAATAAGCTCAGAGCAGGGGAGGGTGTGCAGTGTGGTAGATATTTATCACGTGGGGGTGTAGCCTGGGGGTAAATCTGATCTCATCAGGCTGTGGGTTCGAGTCTCTGCTGCGGACACTGCTGTTGTGTGCTTGAGTGAGCTGCTGTACCCCAGCGTTGCTCAGGGGGGTGATCCCATGTGATAGACCAGCGGGGGACAGGGTCACATGCTCCCCAGTCGGCTCGACACCGGGCCCTGACCTGCTCCCCTCTCTGCCCCTCTCTGACCCAGGATCCCGCTGTCCCTGGGGGAGGGGGTGTCCCTGGCCGTGGGGGTGTACGTCCTGGCCCGGACTGCGACCAAGCCCCCCGCGGTGCGCCTGTACCGCGACACCAACGAGCCGGTCCGCACGAAGACCCGGCTCTACCACGCGCACACGGGGAGCCTGCTGCTGCCCAGCGACACCAAGAGGTCCCAGGTGCGCGCGCGCTCCGGCTCCGCTCCGCTCCGGGTTTTACCCAGCGCCTTCAGAAGCCTCTTTTTAAGGCACTATATCACATGAACGTCATAATTCTTGTTTCTATTATTATGCTGTTAGTGGAGCAGAATAACGAGCCTGAAAGGTGCAGGGCCCGCTGCCGGTTTCGCTGGGCCCGAGCTGCGGCCTGGGTGACGGTGTTGAGCGACTGTCTCTGTCCCAAGACCTACAGGGACCGGCAGATCGTGCTGGAGAACGAGGAGGTGGCCGAGCTGAAGAAGTTCGAGGAGCCGGGCTTGGTTCTGATTGGGTTCAAGCCCCTGGACCGCCTGAAGAGGCACCATCACATCCGGCCCGCCCTCTTCATCTACCCCGAGGAGCAGCAGGTCACAGGTCAGGGGTCACCCTCCCTCCCTCAGTGCAGTGTTAAGGTACTGTATGAATGCAATATTATATTATTCCTGTACATTTCTCTCCCCCTCCCTCTCAGGCAGTTCAAAGCTGTTCACAGCCCTGTTGAAGAGGTGCTCTGAAAGGGGCGTGTTCGCCGTGTGTCGCTACACCCCTCGCCGGAACACGCCCCCCCGCTT